TTCTTTTGTTGCACTATCCTTATCACAAATGAATACTTCTTGATCACGTTGGATATTTTTGAAGATAAAGATAGATAGGTTGCATGGTTTCAATAGCAGTTTCATATCATTTATTTGATTTTAAAACCACTAAAATAAAATGAAACAGCATTTTTGGTAATTGGTATGGGGAAATATTTTTAGTATTTAAATTGTACATGATTTGCAATAGGTAGGCCTGCAATATAACATACAGACTTTTGGTCAAGGGCAGCTAAAGATAATACATATACGATCTATATATAATTGTTTACGGAACTTTTGGTGACATCCAATTACTTCGCGAACTTGCTGCTGGCAAAACTACGTGGAAACATCTTTAAAATATGTAATTGGACTGATCAAGAAATTTATTTTAAAGGTTTGTAAATAGTATATATATATATATAATCGTTGATCATTTAAAAATCATGGATTTTCTAGGTTGCGACAGATATGCTTAAAAAATGATGAAGTAACAGTACTCGTTATCTTTTTTGTAAGCTTGTGAAACCTCTCTAATATCTTCAAATCCAATCACAAATTAGATTTAAAAAAGCATATGCAGCACTTTAAATACCATTTTCTGTTCTCTCTCCTCTCTTCATTTCTTTTCTTCTATCTTTTCTAGGTCCATGGGTCCCTAGTTCACTGCTGCTCAGATTACTTAAATATATAGGGATAGGGTGAGAATGACTAGAGTACTGAGGCCTACCTCATCTGATATGTGTTTATTACTCCGAAACTCTTCTCTAACCCATAGAGTCATCTCTTTTCTTTGTTTTGCATCAGGTACCTGACGTATGGTCTTCAGAATATCTTGGTAAAGCTGTAAAACTTGTCGGCGTAGCATGAACTGTTAAAAAAAAATTGTTTAAAGATAAGTACTGTAAAATAAGATGTTCCAACCCCTGGCACTCAAAATTCAGGAGACAGGAGGTGCACTGGCACCCCCTACCCCCAAAATGCTTTATTTCATGCATGTATTTGATATATTATATCATGCTGTTATTTATATAGTTTTTGTACTGTACGTATAGTTTTATATTTATATTTGTCTTGTTATTTAATCTATATGTACATTTTGTGTATTCTCAGCTCTGGCATACAAATTTCATGTACTATGTTGTATATGACAATAAATGGAATCTTGGATTTTATCATCACAAACATACTTGAAAGAGGGCTCAATGACACAATCGCACCCTGCAAAAATACACCATTCACAACCTTCATCTTCATTGCTTACTGAACCCAAACTGTCGACCATGTATGTGGTGGTGCATTTACACTAAACACCACACTGTTGAGCTCGTACTCTTGTGGTTGTTGACTTCTCTCCAGGTCTCTTCACAGGAATCTGAAGAATGGCCTATCTTTTTTCTCTGTGTTAATCATGAGAAACATTTCAGTGACGTCACACACAATTGCCACTGGGAGATATCTAAACCTATGTAGCACCTCAAACACCTTGTGTTAGAGTTTAGGCCTTTGATAAATCAAAATCGTTTAGACATACCTCTTCCGGTTTTGCTGATGCATAAAATACTACCCTTGTTTTTGTTGTAGCTTTATCCGGTTTTACAACCACAAAATGAGGCAGATGCCACTCCCACCTTGGCTCTCCTGTTTACACCTTTCTCACATATCTTTTCTCAAAATAGTGTTCTTTTATTTGTGAGTATGCTTCACCTGTAGTTTTACATTTCAATAGCTGTTTTTCAGTATTCTTCAGACGTTGAAATGCCATATTATAATTATTTCAGAACTTCGGTTTACATTTCCAAGGTATGGCTACTTGGTACCTCCCATTTCTTTGTGTGATTGACTTTTCTACCAGATACACTGCTTGGTTTTCTTCATCCGTCAACATAGCATTTTGCTTCCTTAGCACATTTTCAATTTCCTAAAATTTTCTCAAATGGTCACTGCACACATCTTGTTGTGAATGAAAAGTTCTGATGAAGTGCACATTACCGTTCTTACCATCAGTTCCTGTTTTTCCAACTGCCGTCCATCCCAATGGTTTGAATCGTGCAACCGGCTCACCAGGTTTCCATGTTACTTCTTTTATGGCTGTATAAAATTCAGCATAATCTATTCCGATGGAGAACATCTACTACTGGTTTGGTTCTGATTGTTTGGAATTCTATTTGTTGCATATGGGCCTAGTTTCTTGACACTTAATTCCAGTTAACAGGTGCCATATTCTCAGTAACCTTCTTAGTTGTTAAGGCTTGCACATCTTTCTTTCGATTAAGACTTTTTAGGGTGAACTTTACCGGCAGTGTTTCAATTATATCTACTAGGCCAATAAGTGTGCTTACATTGACTACATTATTTTCCCATGTCGTCCTAATTCGCTTGCTACATCAATATTTATAAATGTCTGGGTGCTCCCATCATCCAAAAGGCATTTACTTTAAGTCATTTATCGTTGTGCTTAAGAATCACTAGTATTGTTCGTAGTGCTACGTGCTTGTCTTGTTGTGGATTGATCATAGTGACGGGTGTAAACTTCTGTTGTGTAGTTTCTTCGGTCTGCTTTTGGTTCTGTGATTGCTCCCCTTCCGTGCTCGCTCATACCACATCAGTTTGACCTTCCTAATTGTGCAATAATCTGTTATGTATTTGGGCTAGATGCCTACAAAGACACTTATATGACTCTCCCAAGCATGTTGCTAGTTACTGCAGCTTTTTCTATATAAGTTAATCATATCTAAGAACACTAGTTCCTTTCCGTTAACAAGTAGATTTTGTGCTGTCTTGCCCACTTTGTTTGTATGTATACAGGCAGAAGACCATGAAAACTTAACAAATTCTCAGTGCTGTTGAAGTCAGCCATATATCTCATTTGAGTTAAGGTTATGTTACACTTTTTCATTGATCCTATCAATTTCCGCAGCCCATCACTATCATTGGTTCTAACCTTTCTATCTAAAAAAATCTTTCAATAATGAATGCAATATTATTATATGACGCTGCCCAAACTGTTGTGATGAAATAGCTTTAGCTTGTTTATAACCTTCATTTTAATTTAAGGTTCAATATTCAATACTATCGTGGACCCAATAGAAATATTGTGTGAGAATGTCACAACTGTCCCAATAGCTGGGATCCTTTTTTAATTCTGTTATTATGGGGGTCTTGAACTATTGTCTTATTTGCTGGGGTGGAAACATTTTGGGAGGATTCGGGATTGGGAAACATTACATAAGTTTATCCATAAAGCTGAAAGTTTGATCGGTTTGCCTTTGCGATCGGTGCACTCTGTCTACTACAAGCGACTGGCGATCAAGTTTGAGGGGTTGCTGAATGATATAAGTCATCCCCTCCATCCGGTGGTCGTAGGAAGCATTATAGAACGTAGTGGTAGACTTTTAATTCCGGTCGCAAACACGAACCGTCAACCTCGGTCTTTTATTCCTAGATAAATTAAACTGTATAATGAAAAATTTTCGAGGTAACCGTACGGGCTATGTAATTTTCAGCAATGGATTAAGTAAAGAGTATGTCTATGTCTATATATAGAACTCAATAACCTCTTCTTTTGGCAGTTGTAATTCAATTTTTGAATTGGATAAAAAATCTGATCTTAGGTCAGGATTACCTCTAAATCTTCTGTACTGTTCAAATGCCCATTGATATTTTGTACAAAGGTTGGACATTGTCAAAATCATTTGACGTATTACCCGAATCACTGGATCCATCTAGGCCTGCACTTTCTTCACTGTTCTCAGACTCGGAAGAAACAATAAGAATGTCATTTTCGGTTTCCTTTTTTTCTGCCAACTTTTTGGATTCTTCCTTCTCTTTCATGCATCTCTTGCATTCACCCTTCCTCGCAAATACTCCGCTTGGTAATCTGCAATCCAGCTCCTCCTGTCAGGAACTCATCGTCAACTAGCGCGCCATGTCTATCGTCAACTGCCTGGTACGCTTTGTCGAGTTTTATGTAATTTTTTACCACATCGTCTACACTATCTCGTTCAAGTAAAAGCTGCAATGCATTCAATTGCCTAGTTAAAATTCCTTTACTATTTCGTCATATTACTTTCAATGTTTTTTTTTTCTAAATTTTTTCTTTGGTTTCTTCCCATGTCGACTCCATTGTTCTTTTATCAGTGGTTTTATCAACTCTACATACTGCCTAGCTTTCAATTTTGAAATTGTTCATTAAATATCTAGGCCTATAATTTTCTATTCACGGCGTTCAAACCTCGATCTGCTAACACTATGCTCAGGATGTACTATAAATATTATTCACAGGTTTTATGTATTTGTCTTTGTTTTATTTTCTTCTTGATTAGAGTTCAATCATCATCCAACATAATTAATTTTCAATCTACGGCTTTACCATGTTCATATTTTTTTTAATTTTTTTTAACAAACATGTCAAAAGGTCAAATTATTTAAGTGTGGAAGGCGCAAAGATCATTCAAACCAAATATATTTATATTACGCCCTCTATCGTATAGATTTCCTTAATAACAGTGGGATATAACAATAATAACAATGGGATATAACAATAAAACAATGTGACGAATTAAATTGTGGGAGGTCAAATTATTTAAGTGTGGAAGGCGCAAAGAGCATTCAAACCAAATATATTTATATTACGCCCTCTATCGTATTGATTTCCTTAATAACAGTGGGATATAACAATAATAACAATGGGATATAACAATAAAACAATGTGACGAATTAAATTGTGGGAGTAAATTGATAAGATTAGAAATGTTGCTCAATATTTGGGAAGGAAGAAACTCTTACGTTTTTTGTCAAGTTTACCATATTAAAGAGATTGGCTTTGTCTAAGCTTACGTATAATGCAGAAATATGCTGCTTCTACTGCTGATGTTGAATAATAATAATAATAATAATAATAATAATAATAATAATATATATATATACACACACATATATATATATATATATATATATATATATATAATTTTCCTGTTTATTCTCTTTTACGCTAGGTGACTCATTGGCATTGCCCTAATTTCCATGCATATTTTTCTGCTGGAAATTCATTTCCTTCAATTCTTGGAGACATGCTGAGTGATGTCATTGGATGCATTGGTTTCTCTTGGGTAAATATATTATTTAAAACCATTAAAGATAATTAAATCATATTCATGACGGGACGCGTCGGTGAGGAGAAAAATTACTTACAGACAATAAAGTCATATCCTGTTATTGTAGTATTTGCTGTGGCTGTCATATAAATATTATATTTTAAATTTATATAATCATTATATATTAATAATTATATCCTTTAAATTTAATGTCTTCTTGTGATTGTTTTAGCGGATATTGGCCAACGATGCTCTTTGTAATTTCAATAAAAGATTTATTTGAAGAAATTTATATAATTTATGCCGAATAATTTTTTTCAATCTTTTTCAATTTTTTTTTTTTTTGCATTTTTATTTTAAGATTGCTAGCCCAGCATGCACGGAACTGGAGACAATTATGCTGGATTGGCTAGGCAAGATGATTGGTTTACCAGATGAGTTCCTGGCTGAGGGTAATTCCAAGGGAGGGGGTGTAATACAGGTAAGGATTATAATATTGGTATTATTTAAAACTGGTATTTAATAGTTAAATGTAATAGCAACGAGGGGGGTAATCTCAAACAGGTAGAGGTGGTACAGGTATCTTGAAGCGGGTATCAATAAGGGATGATTGATATTGAATGTTTTGACTTGAAAATATCTTATTATCATCCATTTTTTTTATTATGATGAATTATAAAATAGTTCCCGAGAAATGACAAGTCGCAAATTTTAGGAAAACTTGATGTGGTAGTCTAATTGAAATTGAGGCTAAGCATGCTTTTCAGTGGCTTGGTAATCTTACAAGAGCATTATTATTATTATTATTATTATTATTATTATTATTATTATTGTAATTGTAATTGTAATTGTAATTGTAATTGTAATTGTTATTGTTATTGTTATTGTTATTAATATTATTATTATTCTTATTATTAATGAGTCCATTCTGCCTGTCCTGGCTGCTGGACATTATTGAATACCTGTACCTGTGTGCTGAGCGAGCAAGCAGGAAGAGTGAGATTTGTATGTTAAAATGCCCTTGTAAATCTACTGCTGTGAACTAAATGAAAGAGGTAGCCTAGTCTGGTATAAATTATAGAAGGCGTAATTGCAGCTCTGTTAGGTTAACTGATAAATAGAATATGCATGCCGACCAGCAGTATTTACAAGCATCAGTGTTGTAGTATTTTCATATATAACCCCTTATTATTGGGACAACTTGAGGACCAAAATAGTGTACTCCTTCGTAGAGATGTCATTATAGGACACTAACCAAAAACGTTAAAAGATTTTTGGCATGCTTGTGTATAATGATGACACAGGTTATTTATAGTTTTATTGTAAACTGACCTAGACTGAGTTACAGTTGAATTATAACTAACTTATAACAAGAATTTGCAATGTATAACAATTCATTTATTAAATATGATTCGTAATTGACCTAAGGATGAGTTACAGTTGAATTATGACTAATTTATAACAAGAATGTCCAGAGCAAAAATAAGTCATCTATGATATAAAATCAACAGCAATGTAATTTAAAAATACAAGTTATGTAAATATTATGTTCCCAACATTGTTTCATGATGTGCCTGCAAAGTTAATGAACAACTATTTTTTTAAATATTGAGATTTCTACTGGATGCACTAGATAGAATAGCGTAAATGGATTAACAACTTATATTAGATATCAGGATGGAGCTGTACGATATAGATTAGAATCCTATAAAGATTTGTCCACACTATCAAATTTCATCAAAAAAGCGCCAAATAATCGTGTTGAGAAAATAAACACCGTTTACATCAAATATATCTAGAGGTTAATTTGATTTCATATAATATTTAGTTAATAGATTATACAAATTTACGATTTTTATTGACAATCCAATATGGCCGCCAAATGTATTAAGAAGTATTTTTTGTATTGAGAACATAAACACTGCCTACTATAATAGTATACGTTTAGAGGTTCTTTTGATTTTATATATTTTTTAATTATTAAATTATGCAAATAACTGATTTTCGCTGAACATTCAAGATGGCATCAAATATTGCCGCTAAATGTAAATGCGAGATTAATGTTTTGTATTAAGATCATAAACACTGCTTACTATATACATCTATAGGTACATTTAATTTTATATTATTTTTAGTTATTAAATTATACAAATTAATGATTTTCATTGAAAATCCAAGATGGCCGCCAAACGACCCCACGGGACAATTTTGTTCTATGGGAACATCACAATTCGTACGAGATACTTTGATGATTACAAAAATGCTAGTTAAAAAATATATTCGAGGGGTGCATGGAACACCCCCCCCCCCCACACCTGTTCCTACACTAAATGTATTAGTTTCATGGCGCTTCCTCACAAATATAACGTTCATCAAAACGAATATGAATAATGAATTGCATGTATATAGCAAGCAGAATTATCATAAACAATTAGTTTACTAACACTTTACGATATTCTATAGGCCTACACTGACTGCATATGATTGTGTAATAAAGATTAAATGAGTCATTAATTTCCGACGGGAAACAAAGGGGAATTGTTATTGTGCAATAGAGATTTAGAAACAGTTTACTACAAAAAAAAAATTATCTTAATTTAATATTATTTGCGATAATACATTGTGCCATTTGAGTAATGCAAACACTTGTATTTAGGCAGCTAGTTTACAGCGGTTGTTTTGCACTACCGCGCTCAAGAAATTTGAGCGTGGTGAAGTTGCAAAATGCAAACTGAAATTTCTACATATATTTGATTAAAAATTTTAAATCGGAGGCTTCTTTAGAGAATTACTAAACTCTGCATCCAATTCGTTATTTCTTATTCTGTAGACATAGACCTAACTAAGGTAGCCATTATTTTGAACCTGGTATAGTTTTTAATACCAACGTCATTAAATTTATTGCTCAATTAATTTCACTCCTCCCTTTGTCACACATTTAATCTTTCCATCTTCCAGAGTATATTTCCAAGCAATGTAGAAAGTTCGCTGTAAAAACAGCGTGGAAGGTTTAAGCGCAAAGTGACACGTGTAACAGCTAAACGTGTTTAGATTAGGCCTAATTTGATTTAGTTCTTAGCTTGCTTAACATTACCGTACTCACGCAAATTAGCACTCTGGCCCAAGTGGCAATATTTTTCCTCGACGTTTCAGCCAAGCCGATTTGTGGTGCTATACTTATATATGAATCATAGCCGTAGATATATGAATCAGAGCCGTAGATAGAGAGAGTTTGGCCAACTCGGTTTCATGGGATTCTGCTATGCGCGCGTATGATTGGCTGGATAGCAATCACATGACTTACAAACACAAAACATTGGCGAGGTACAAACTAACGCGACAGGATAAAAATCCAATAATTGAATTGTCCTCAAGAACAGAATAATAAAAGAAAGTTTATGCAGCATCAGTGTTATAAAGCTAATACGCACCGCCGCGCGCACGCTGTTTGGTAACAGCATGGCGCCATGCGCCAAGTTGGCCAAACTCTCTCTATCTACGGCTCTGATATGGATATTCGATAGCAAAGGGCTATGCTTTCACCCGCTCTGTTATACAGCGTTTTTTTTTTTTTTTTTTTTTTGCCCTGGATTCTGCTCATCCCCATAGGGGGTTAGGCCAAAGTTTGTCGCGAGGTCTAATGGACAACGGTAACAGAGATGAATAAAATTTAGAAGATGACTTAAAATTTTTGTTTTTTTTAAGGGAGGAATTATTATGTGCAATGCAACTGGTAGGCCCAAAGAAGTTTGCAAAATATGTACCGAACGAATGCCCTTATTCGAACTGCCTGTAGTTACTAGCAAAGCCATAGATATGACTAATGGTTACTCGTAGGCCCAAGCGCGTGGGATCACGATTACGTTTATGCCAGTGTGCCAAAGTAGTAGTAGTAGTAGTACTTTTTAAATGTGTATGGCTAGTATGTTTATGTTTTATATTGTAAATTACAAAAAGCAACAGTGTCTAACTTACCAGGGGGATGTAAACATTATAATTGTTCATTTACTAAAAATATTACAAATAAAATATAAAATCTATTTATTACATTTTATTACTACAAAAGTTTGATTACCAGTAGTTTTATTACGGTACTGGTAGTTTGATAACTGAAATTATGAATCTAAGACGTGTAACGTATCAGCAACATAAATGCAACCTTTATTATTTCAACTTAATATAAATAAATCAATTGTATTAATAAAAACAATAATAATAATAATTGTCATTATACATTAAAAACACTTTAATTCAATCAGTACAGGTTTTTTTTATATTTTATAATATAACTGTTCTATAAAAAACTATTTTATATTTACTGTTATTGTTTGATTGAGTTTTATTAAATTTTCTTTTCCTTATGCTTTTATTTTGATTTGTATGAAATTTTTCATTTGAGTTGATCCAGCAAAAAAAGAAAACAATAGTACTCACACTACGTTTCGCGAACTATTACGAGTACTATTGTTTTTTTTTTGGTTTTTTTTTGTTTTGCTGGATCAACACAAATGAAAAATTTCATACAAATTATATTTGGATCCAAATGAATTTATTTCAAAACAAAATTATTTTGATGTTTTTTTGATGTTTTTTTTTGTTTTTTTTTTAGTTTAATGTAAATTACCATCTAATTCAGCAATAGCTGCGAGGTAGTTTTTAATAAAAGAAATAGAAATTGAATTGAAAAGCAAAATAATATTAATACAATGACATAATAAAAAAAAATCAAATGCCAAAAAAAATAATGTTCAACAAATAAAAAGAAGAATATACAATGTATGATTGTACAAGCAAAAATAATAATTAAAAGAAAATAATTTTGTAATGTTTATTTTTATTTGGTCTTAATGATGTATTAATAATTATTAAGTACACAAGAATACATGCACAATAGAGCAGTGTTTTATTCTGTTTAATTTATAAAATAATTCTTGTATCCCCACCCTTACAATCTATCTACAGTATACTGTCACTAATTGTTAATATATAATAACACAAAATTTTAAAAAATAATTGTAATATAACAAAACTACTTCAAAATTTCAAAAATACAATTTAACTTATTATATCTAAAAGTTAATTCGATAGAATGTATTACTGTATTAAACACCGTTGCTTTCTTAGGGGTTCTTATGAAAACTTGGGAAATTCAAAGGGCGCTTTCGATTGAAAAACAAAAATATATGGTTAGGATATCTATAAACCAAAGAAGAAAAACGAATGGTTCTGGTGAAGAATAGATAATCGTCAAGAGAGTATGGACCATGACAATGATGCTATGAGTAGTAATACAAGAGCAGATGAAGTTAGTGGCGTTGGCAGTGGTAATGATTTTTGGGCATCTGCCGATTGGTATTAGCAGGATCTTTGCAGGTTTTGTAAACTCTGAAGAGATCGTGCTAAAGGTGCAAATTGTTGGGGAAAATGGGAAGTATGTCGAGACAAAATGTAAGAGGAGAGTTGGAAAGATACTGTACAGGGAGCCCTTATCTATCAAAAAGAGAAATATCCCAACTTGATGAAAAGCATGCCAACCACAGTATATAGATTGATTGGATTACTGGCTAATAAAAAAACAACAAAAAACGCATGATAGTGTTGAGGGCGCTTATTAAATTTAGGAGGGACGCTTAACAAATTTTCACGTGCTTATTTGAAAGGGGCTCTTATTCCAATGAGGCGCTTATTCGCGAGAGTACGGTAAATGTACTTGTATTTGACATTATTATGTCAATTAATGCTTAACACGTTAAAACCATAAGCAAATTAAGCCGGGTCTACACACACATGTTTAGATTTTAAACCTGTAACTAAGGGCGAAACAAAATAATTGCCTGGTGCTTTGCGGTTAATTCCTCCACGCTATTTTCTTTACTGTGTAACGTGTAACTCTTTTTTTTTAACAATGATATTGATAATAATAATGATAATGGTGAAGACGATGACGAAGGAGATGATGGTGATGGTGATGATGACGATGACGATGTTACATGTATATAGCGCATAATGCTGGAGCTTCTATGTGCTTAACATAAACGAAATAACAAAAAAAAAAAAAACTAACAAAAAAATAAATAAAATAAAACTAGAAATAACATAAAACTAAACAAGACCGCCATGTAAAGTAAAAAAAAAAAATCACCACCGCACCGTTCAACGGCATTTTAAGGTGGACTTCCCCAGGTTTTGAATAGAGAGATACGCTGCTATTTTAGATTTAGGATGAAACACAAAACAACATGATTTTTTTCATATTATCTATTTTATTCAAACAACAGAAGCACATTCTATTTTTGTAGAGCACGGCTAGTGAGGCAACGCTGGTGTCACTTCTAGCAGCAAAGATGAAAACAATTCGTAAGGTTCTTGAGGAAGGGCCTGACCAAGACCAGTACGACGTTCTGCCCAAACTAATAGCATATACTTCAGATCAGGTAAAATAAAACAATAAAGCCAAACGCACACAGCAATTTTTAAGATCGTAAAATGGTGTTCAGGAGGAGATTTTGCTCAATGTCGAACTTGTTTCTTTGGCGCTAAATTATGTTTCGGTTAATTCGATTGAGAGATTCCACACATTACCAATGATTGAGTGCCTATCAGCCGGCGCAAGTGAGAATGTCCATGTGATAACAAGATTCAGTATTCAGTGTAATTTATTGTCATTTGTAAAATTTATTAAAATTAATTGTACATAGAAATACAAACGGCATGGGTCCGCTCATCAATAATAACAGAAATAATAAATACCGGTAGGTAATAATATTAGGTAATTAACTATCGCAAAATGTGATAGTCATGTGTCAGTTGTCCTGTGGTAATTTGGTTAGTGAAACACTAAACAATTTTTCCCCCATATCCTTGTGTGCTTTAGATAAATATTTAATTACTTGTTTATTTATAAGAAAACAGTTAAATAGTACATATTGTATCATCACATAGGCACATTCATCAGTTGAACGAGCAGCACTGATTGCTTCGATCAGAATGAGAATTCTGCCATCAGATGATAAGAATGCTCTCCGTGGAGAGGCATTACAGAAAGCAATATCAAAGGACAAAACGAATGGCTTGATACCGTTCTTTGTAAGTTTATTTTTAGGTTTTTATTTTTTGCCTTTACTTCAACTTACACAAATAATTATTCAAATTCTACTAATGTATAGCTTTATTGATGGCATCACTTCCGATCAATGTGCGACACATAGTTCTCTATTACTAAATCCTTTCAGAGCCACTGGGGCTCATAGGGATGGAGCTCATTCCCAGTTTCTGTACTGTGAAGCGGATGAGAGTTGTACTCCCCTGGACGGGACACCAGTCTATCGCAGGTTAGCCCCCAGCAGTTTACTGGTACCCATTGATACAGCTGGGTGGATTGAAGCAATGTAGCTATAAGTGCCTTGCCTAAGGACACAAGCGAATCCGGAAAGTGAAGACTAGAAACCCCGACCATACGATTGAAAATTATTATATTTGGCCATTATTATTTATTTTATATTTTTGATTTTTCTATACAATATATAAACCTCATATCGGAAGTCGGTTATTTGGTAAATGCTGTCGTCCCAATTTCTACTTAGACCACCAAGCTTGCCCTTGGTAACTAGTTTAAGAATCACAAGGTTAAGACATCAGGCTAGATATCTGGAGGTCGTGGGTTCGATTCCCACCTAAATCACTCGCGAATTTTTTCGCCAGTATTTGGGGACGTACTGATTATTCGGTACGATAACACGTCAGGTAGGGCAAAACATCACTTATATGATAGTTCCTGACGCAAATTCATATCTTTATAGCACTTGCAGTACCCGCTGCAACTAGGGGATCGGATTCATCACAAGTCACCAAGCGCAAGCTCGGTGGTCTAGTGGTTAGGACATCAGGCTAAATACTTGAAGGTCATGGGTTCGATTCCCACCCGAATCACTTGCGATTTTGTTCGCCAGTATTTGGGGACGTACTGAGTATTCGGTACGATAACACGTCAGGTAGGGCAAAACGTCACTCATATGATGTTTCTTGACTCAAGTTCATATCTTTATAGCACCTGCAGTACCCGCTGCTACTAGGGAATCAGATTCATCACTAGCCACTAAGCGCAAGCTTGGTAGTCTAGTGGTTAAGACATCAGGCTAGATACTCGTGGGTTCGATTCCCACACAAATCACTTGCAAATTTTATCGCCAGTATTTGGGGACATGCTGAGTATTCTGTACGATAACACGTCCGGTTGAACAAAACATCACTCATATGATATTTCAAGACGCAAATTCTTACTTTATAGAACTTACAGTACCCGCTGCTACTAGGTTATCTTGTTTTGATTAGTTGAACTCAAATCTGCTTGTACCACTGCGAGAGTTGACCTTATTGCTTAGTGGTACTGTAAATTGTGTACCTAGTAATGTTTTGAAGAGTGTCTTGAAACAAAAAAAGTATGTGTTTTTAAATAGTACATCTGCACCACATTCCCTTGTATTCTCTTTGTGCGTCCTGAGTCTAAGGTAGAGCCATGCCTACGGCACGGTACCTTCTACGTTGAGGATAAAAGATAGAGAGTGATAATTGTATACAAGTTAGTCTTAAAAGTGCTGTTGCATTTCTTTTATTATTTAACAGATGAAACATTAAAGTAAAAAAAAAATACTGAAAAGCGATTGAAAGTGTGTATAGCCTAAGCAAGAAACGAAAGACAAATAGAACACGTCCTACACCTTAGTAAAATCTTATGTAAATACTCCTTTAGGAATATATTACATTTACGCTACGTGCTTTAAACACTGTGAAGTATATCGACTGGGAATTGATGAGGTTTGTGTACACGAAGTCAGCACATAGTACTATGTATTGACAGTGTGATTGACTATTGACACAATTTGAAAACAGTGTGGAGTATGTGTACACTCTACGTTATTCTAGTGGATGTCTTTAATTCTTGTGCTATAATCCGAATCTT